GCCTCGTGGTACATTCGCAATAGTAATATTCACAGGGATCTCAATGTCCCCATAATACGTAAGGAGATCAAACTGTCCAGTTTAACCTAATGGATCACCGAAATCCCCTTGCCAGGGAGTTGCTGCTATTTGAGGGTCATAGACGACTGAGGAGAATGGAAACCCTGGATCTTGCCTGATAATCAAATCGAGAACTTGGGTTGGAACAGCAGTGGCAGTAATAACGTTAGTCACAGTTTAGGTTAAGATTTTTAATTATTGTAAATTTCTACTTAAGAAATTTTCATTGAAGAATAAATAAAATGAAAAAAATATATACCCGGCAGAAACTTTCATTATAGGTAAGTGTTTACAATTGCAAGTTTTTGCTGGGTATTGATAAATTGTATAAGTTTTTTTTGGAATGAAAAAAATTTTAAATCAATATAATGATAAAAGTCAAGAAAATTAGAAACTCTAATCTTTCCGTTACGTCTACAAAAAAATAATCAAATATCGGGAAAATATAAAAATAATAATTAAACCTAAATCTCCTAAACTAAAAGAAAACACACGCAGAGAACTATATATATTTTAATTCGTATCATAAATGAATTTTTTGGCAATTTAAAAAAAATATATATTTAAGATTTCTGTATATCTATAAAGAACTGAATATGTACATATCGAGCCCTTTTCGCACAAAAGAGACGTAACCGACAAAAAAATTTTACAGGAGAGCATTTTTTTAATTATCTTCGAAGTAGAACATAGCATTACTCCAAAACTCCGTTAATAAATATTATTACATCTAAAATATGGGATGCAGTTTGTTTCGATTTTATATTGACGCTATATCCGATTTTTTTGTCGCTTACGTCTTTTTTGCCGAGACAAATTTTTATGATATAAACAATGTTGAGGCGGTTACGTCTAAATTCTCTGTCTAAAAAAATATTTTTTGGTGTATATCTTTATATAATTTGTATAAATCTGAAATTTAAGAGTGTAATAAATATTTTCTTATAAGATTTTAAGGTCATCTAGGGATGTCTGTATGTCAGTCTTTTTGTTGAAAACCGGATAGGTTCCGAACGTTATGAGCTAGAGTGATGAAATTCTCCAAAAATGCTTATTGTTTTGTGTTAATAATGGGCAAAATCGGTTCTTGATTTCACTTATCCCCCATACAAGTACCTCCCGGATTATAGTTAAAACTTTTATAAATATGTTGTTTATGTAGCAATCGCTATAAAATTTTGCAGAAGTCGGTTATATATAGTTATATATATAGGTAGTATGACAGATGTCAGGCAATATTTAACCCTAGCCTCCATATATGGACCCTTTAAGACAATGATTTTATGACCATAGCAGCCTTAAAAATATCGGTATAGCAACGAAATTTGATGTATGATGATTTTTTAGGATTGTTTCCTATGACCTTCATACAGAAAATAAGTTTACAGTTAATAAATCTTTCAAAAATTAAGAAAGTATGATGAAATTCTACAAAAAAAATAGTTTTCAAAACTAATCACGCGTTTAAATTCTATAGACCCCGGTCCACAATTGACCTAATCCCTCATTAAAGGCCGCATTCTGAAAATCACCCTGATGTCTATATTAATATCCATACATGGTAGTACAATTCGCCTTATATCGAATAAATAAGTAAATTCTGGGACTATTGATTCATTAAAGTCCATATACAGGTCCGCCTTCCGAAATCCACAAATTTACAACCAAATATAAGAGTTGGTTAAATGGTAATTATATAAATGCAATGTAATTAGTAATTAGAATGAACTAAATTCATAAAAAGTTATAGATTAAATTATAAATTTTAGCACATAAATTGCAATGGCATAGTGATAATTACATGAATTTATTACAATTATACTCAGATATGTCGCATTTCATTCAGAAACAAATGTAATACGTTAATTTGTTCAAAATTTTTCTATAAATTTAATATATTTTAAAAGAAAATTTAGACGTAACCGACACTTTGCTGTTACAAAATTCATAAACAGAAAATAAATGTGTACTTACGTCTTTTTTCTTTTTCTTGCAAAGTTGAAACCATTGGATCTATAGCTACGAAATTTTCAGAGATGATGCTAATGGACCTAAATTATCGATTTCTATAAAAAAACGAAAATCGAAACTGAAGTCGCTTACGTCCATTTTGCAAAAAGGGCTCGATATGTACAATGAATATGCAATACATATTATGCATACATAAATGCTCGTCGGTGGTGACGAAGTTATGAATTTAGTCTCAAAGTCATTTGAAAAGCAATAATTTTGTAATGCTAACAATTTAAGAGGTTTAGAAAATCTCTTTAAATTTTTGCAAAATCTCTCTATGGAAACGAATCACTGTGCAGCGTATCAAATTTGTTAATTTCTGTCCATTTTAATATCGACAACAGTAACTTCTGAAATAATTTTATAAACTATTTATGTTTCACACCTCTATGTAGACAACATTTAACATTGAATTGTTGAAATTTGATATAAATAAAAATATTTAATAAACATGGCGCCAATCGTTTAAGAGTAACAAGTGATAAAATTAAAAAAAAATGAATTTTAAATATTTGTGAATAAATAAAATTCGGTTTTGCAAAACCACAATTTATTTGTTTATGCGGGTGCTAAATTTTAACTAGACATTGTCTTTAAAAATTCCTCTTAATATACATGCAGTAAACAACTATGAAGGCTTTTAAATTTAGATTAAACTAAAAATAAATAATAATAAAATTTAAATATTAATACCTACTAAATGTTAGTTGTAGTATTAAATGTGAAAACAAAATATTTTAACACGACGAATTAAATGTTTAAATTATTTCTACTGTTTTCTATTTTTAACAGTTTTGTTTTGTATTTGAATGTATATTGATGTATGAAGTATATTGAACAATGAAATAATTCAATTGTAATGAAATATTGCACAATTTAGTTTTATGCACCCAAAAATCATTTTGTAAAGGATAGCATACATAATTCGATAATTGACCCCACCCCCCATAGAAAATCGCCAGGTATGTGCGTTAAAGTCATTTTATAAAGGGGAACTTACATGAGGGATAGGGTCAGTTATTGACCGATCCTCATCAAATTTAGTAGAAAAATTTCCTTTCCTATAAATATTGTTTTTGTCGAATTTCAATACTGTACTCGTATTTTTAAGCCAGTTATAAGATTAAAGTAATTTTCTGAATGGGACCTTAAATGATGGGTAGGCTTAGTTATGAACAGTAATGGTCGTTAAAGTCATATTCTGAAGGGGACCTTATATGGGGAGTAGGGTAAATTATGAGCAGATTCTCATAAAATGTGGTAGAGAGATTTTGGTTCATACGAAACTTGTTTATGCAGAATTTTATAGCTGTATTCGTATTTTTAAACCAGAAATGAGCGTTAAAGTCAAATTCTGAAAGGGACCTATAATGGGGGGTAGAGTCAATTATCATAAAATTTGGTAGAGAGAGTTTGGTTCGTACGAAACTTGTTAATGCAGAATTTTATCGCTGTAATCGTATATTTAAGCCTGTAATGAGCATATAAGTCTGAATTGTTTTCCGAAAACGTGGATTATTAATATCAAAAAAACCTTACCTGTAGGGTATATTTTTGTAAAGTTTCAACGCCCTAGCTCTTTCCGTTCGGATCCTATCGTGTTTTCAACAGACAGACATACATACATACGGACAGACAGGGCTAGATCGTCTTAGAATATAAAGAGGACCCCAGAATATATATAATTTGGTGGGTCTATGACCAATATTTTAAGGTATTACAAACGAAATAATAAAAAACAATATTATCCTCATCTTTTGATGGTGGGTACAAAAATGCTTAGCTTATAATATTATGTTCATTTCATTAGGAATTTGCTGTATGAATTTAATTATCTTCTAAACCTTTCAAATTTTTTTAGTAATATGTTCGCAATTCTAAATATATAATTTGTAAAAAATGAAATATGACCTTATCAATAATCAATAATAAAATTAAACAAAGATATATGTCAAGTAAAATTAGCACTAAGTTTAGTAATATTGGATAATAGATCAGACATAAATTTTTAGCACTATCGGTCCAGAACTACCGGACTTAGAGGGGATCAAAGTTGCACATTTCGGTAATACAGGGTTTTATTCAAATGAGTGTAACTTTCACCTATTGGTACTAGGAAAAGTTGTCCAAAGGATTTCAGATAGATATTTTTTCATTGACGAAAATGTCCAACTTTTACCCCTCTAAGTCCGGCAATTCTGGAACGAAAATTTGAGACATCGATTTTAAAAATTGGGCCACTTGACATGAAATAACCCGAAGAATTTTTTTTTCAGATTTGTATTATCGATTTATTAAACATTTGTCTAATGTATGTATTTTTGGTAATTAAAAAAAAAAAAAAACATTTTCAAAAAACCAAAACAACTTTGACGTACCTTCTTGAAAAACTTTCACGTGAACAGATTTGGCATCGTTGAAAGTAAGTATATAAGTTTATAAAAAGACCCTAATGTCTTTAATTACCCTATAATTAAAAATAATTAAATTAGATTTAACCATATACAGGTAATAATACTAACTAATTGTTATAACATTTTATGAGGTGGTTTAGGTTCACATAAAATTTCTTTGTTGAAATTTTTTGTCTAACATTAATGTGCGAATTTTGATATCATTTAAAAGAATAAACTTATCATAACTTATGGAACTTTAACTTAATAACAAATCACAGTTAAAACTTATTAATTTAACAAAAAACCAATTTGTCGGTCAAGCTTTGAAACAACAATATACATTCACTATTATCTGCTCTGCATTATGCATATCAAATACTTCACATTTGAGTGCAAATTTAAGTTGTTTTTTTTTTTTAACTAATAAAAACCAATAACATAATTAAAGTTATTGCAAATTTATACAACTTATTATTGCTAAGGCTTTATGTCGTAGTTAATTTCATTCTTGTTGGAAAACAAATATTTATAATAATATAAATGGTAGAGGGTGGAGTGACGAACAACAGATTAAAGCCAACATTCCAATTGACAATACGAAAAACTATTAACAAAAATAACACACATCAAATTCAAAACAAAATGCGTACCTTCATTGTTCTCTGTTTCGTGGCTGTAGCCTCTGCTAATACATTAGGTTACAACTACCAACCTTCTGCCGGTTTGTTCACTCCTAGTGGGTCTTATGGTTCATCATCGAATAGTGTTCCTTCCTACGCTCCTCAAGGATACAACGCTGAAGCTTCCCATGCTTCACCATCGTACGCTCCTCAAGCAGAACTTGAAAAGGAATTTTACACATTCAGTGCTAATGATGATGATTTCAATGATCCTGCTGCATCCAACCAACTTTCTAATGCCGTCAAACAAGGTCTACGTGTTATTTTCATTAAGGGTCCAGAAAACCGTGGCTTGGAAAACGCTGCCCTTTCTTTAGCCAAACAAGCTTCTGGCCAAAAGACTGCCATCTATGTCCTCAACAAACAAGCTGATATCGGAAATTTGGCCAACAAACTTAATTCTGCCAACAAGAACAACAACAATAAACCTGAAGTTCATTTTGTCAAATACCGTACTCCTGAGGATGCTGCCAATGCCCAAAAAGCCATCCAAAGCCAATACGATTCTTTGGGTGGTCCTTCTCATTCTCATAATGGTGGCGTTGCTCCTGTCTTGAACTTTGCTTCAAAGGCTCCAGTATCAGCACCTGTACATGCCGCATCAGCCCCTAGTGGTTCATATTTGCCAGCTTCGATTTTCCGCTCATAAAGAGTTTAAGCTTTATATGAAGTAGAATTAAGTGTTGTTATTGTTGTTTATTATTTAGTTTAATAAAATTTATTTTGTTTAAATATCAAAATTTTAATATTAATATTTCATTACATCTTTTATATATTATCTGTACAAAGAATGAAGACAATAGTTTTTATATATATTAATATTTGGATATACTCTGGTCCACTCTACGAGAAGGAGGTCCGAAAACTATAACTTTTGATGGGATTGGAATTGGATGAGTTAAAAATTTAGGGTATATACATTGCTATAGCATTTTTTCTTGTTAATAAATGCTAAAACTTGACGAAATTTGTTATTTATAATATTCACAGTGGTCAAAAGGTAGACTTTTTTAAAAAGGCCTAGCGTTTTGACCGTGCAAAATTTGAAAATTTCTGTTGCGTAAATTTTTGTCCTAAATATTTATATTCATACAAAATTTTAAATCAGCTATTTTTATATTTGATGCAACACCCACTATTGCTGTTATCACCATTCTATCTCTAAATATTCATATCAAAATCAAAGTTGCGGTAGCACAATTTTAATTCTAGCATTTATAGTTTGCCAGATAGACAAATTTTATTTTATGATTAATATGGGAGATGTAATGCCCACTAGTCCAGATATCGAAGTGCTTTACGCATACACCTGCCACAGCCTTATTTCATGGTGGTATTTTCGAAAACAGGGTGAGTTTCTTTGAAGACTTACCACCGCCCTTTGGTGCTTCTTACACGCCGGTGGCAATTTCTGTACATGGCTCTGGCAGTCCATGTACTCGAGCTATCTAATCTCTTGACATTGTCATGAGACAAGCCGAATACATTTAGAGGTTTAGTGTCTATAGAAAGGGTGTACCGAACTGCAGGTGAAATTGATTGATGCTATGAGGAATCCCCCATTCTTAAGACATTCTCATCATCTAAAGACTTACACCAGTGCTCTACGTAAACTCTTAAAGTCTCAGTTGTTTCGGAAACAGCACCTAGAGATTTGGCACAAGGATCTACTGTGATAAGTTGAGAATGTTTTTAGAGTAAACTCTAAACACGCTCAATCATGAAAGAAAATCGCCGATAAATTATAGGTTAAGGTATAATCAGCTCCACTCAACCAACCATCTAACAGCCATCACTCCAGCATCACACCGCAAAAAGAACTCAGAGTTATTCTCAACTCATACCCATCATCATTGCATTATTAACTCAAATTCAACATTTGATTAATCCATGCGCTATGTTAGACCCCTTACCGGGAATTTGGATTTAAACAACAGCCACTACGTGTATTCTAAAAGAACCTCAACGATTTTGAACAAAGTTCTGCGGGCAATTGGCCATCTGTACTACTTGGACCTCTGGTACGACGTCATGTCAAATCATTCCAAGGAAAGGCCAAGGATACATTTGATCATTACGTTTTTATAGTTTAAAGCTGTTAAATGAACGAATTTTATTATTTTATTAATATAATAGAAGCCATGCCCACTAATTACAGCCTACCCATTTTTTCCTTAAAATGTTACACGGTTGGCAAAGTTGACTAATTATAGCCCTCCCAATGAAAACACTCTTTTAACACATGATCAAATCTATATGTCTTCTTTAATCTATCTGACATTAAGAAAAGAGTCAGTTTATGTTAAATTTTGATAATGGAAATTATAGAAGATAAATAGCATGCAGAGGTATGGTTTAGACCTAGCAGCTTTAAAAATATAAAAATAATTACATATCGTGAAAATTTTAACTGGATTACTACTTGGCTACTCCAAGTTTCCTGTCTCACTGTTGACCTAGGACTACAACTCTGACCAAAGCTCTATCATTGATAAAGTCAGTGTATCATCAATAACACATACATCATATGTTTTAAGTCGATTCACACGGTAAAATCTTATGGTCATGGATACGAATCTCGCATCAGAACTCCTCCTCGAGAAATTCTGAGACCTGATCTGCATTCAGCGCAGATCAATCCACTGTATACATTGATTTCTGGGCTTCGACTTTGTAAAAATTTAATTTGTCTGTGTAGGTTTTTTTCTAATCATAGTCTTTATTTTGTGCTCAAAATAACTTTTAAATCTTATTAAGTCTAAAAATAGAATTATCTAATATTGTATACAAATTAGTTTAAATTATACATTCTTTGTTAATTTTACAAAAAAAAAATTCCTAACAATACATATACATAAATAAAACAAACTAATAGTAGCAAAAAGCTAAAATATGTTCTACTCTATTATTCATTGAAACCAGCTACACCACTCGCAAAGTACCATCTTCATCAATAAATTTACAATGGAATTTATTAATATTTAATTTAAAATTTAATACAACAAAAACTAAAGTCAACCCTCCGTCAGTCGGAGTCAATTTGTGAAGTAGTAAAATTATGCATTTTTGGTTTAAATCAATTACAAACACGGTTTTATTAAAAAGACATCAAACGATATGGTTTTAAAAAACAACAATAATAAGTGGCACTGGCCGGTCATAATAAACAAAATCAACAGCAGTATAATCGCCGCTGAAGAAAAGAAAATTCTTTATACAAGAGTACAATGCATTGATTTAAGACAGAAATCTGATTATTTGTAGGTGGTTTTTAAACAAAACAATACGACCAGACAAATGGACAGACATACAACTAACTAGCTAGACATCATTTGTTTATGAACAACAATAAATACTTCTTTTACATACAATACATGACTTCTATTTTAAGACCTCCATGTCAAAAATATTAAATTTAGAAGTATATAAATAAAAGAGGTCGTTTCATAACTTTATAGAAACAGAAACAATTTGGATTTCAAACAGAACACAGAAACAATTAACTAAGTCAACATGCGTGCCTTTATTGTAAGTAGTTTGGAATATAAATTAATAAATTAAATAGGATAATAGATTAATGTTATAATTCTATTTTTTATTTAAAGATTTTATGCCTCGTAGCAGTCGCTTGTGCAGACAAATTGGGTTACAACTACCAACCTGTTGGTCATTCCGATTCTGGTTTATCTTTCCAACCTGGATCTGGTGTTGGTGGTGGTTTGGATACCGGTGCTTCTTATGATGCTCCTTCATACTCAGCTCCTGCTGAGTTCGATAAGGAATTCTTCTCATTCTCTGCTCCCGAAGGTGAATTCGATGATCCCAATGCCGCTCAAAAGATTGCTGGTAGTGTGAAACAAGGTCTCCGTGTTGTCTTCATCAAGGGACCCGAAAACAAGGGACTCGAAGATGCCGCACTCGCTTTGGCCAAACAAGCTGCTGATCAAAAAACTGCCATCTACGTCCTCAACAAACAAGCCGATATTGGAGATTTGGCCAACAGACTCAATGCCCTCAACAAGAACAACAACAACAAACCCGAAGTTCACTTTGTCAAATACCGTACCCCTGAAGATGCCGCCAACGCTCAAAAAGCCATCCAAAACCAATACGATTCTTTGGGTGGACCTTCTCAATCTCACAATGGCGGTGTTGCTCCCGTCCTCAACTTTGCTTCTCAAGCCTCAGTACGCGCTCCCACAGCTCATGCTCCCGGCAATGCTTACTTGCCTTCATCTGTGTTCCGTCGTCGCTTGTAAGTAATAAGAAGCACATAGCCAAAGAGACTGATCCTTTATTATTTTTTATCCTGTTGTTAATTTGTTATTAACTTTGTTATGTTTTACATCGAATAAAATTTTGTTTAAGTATTAATTTTATAAACAAATGCATTTTTTAAGCTTTAAAGTTACATGTTGAAAATGTGTCTAGATTTAGCCTTTTCCGTGTAAATTAGTTCAAAATTTCAATTTGTAATACAAAATGTAATTTTTAGAAAGTGGGTCTCACACAAATTTTCAGCTCTATCGGTCAAGAACTGACGAACTTAGAAGAGATCAAAGTTGGACGTTTTGGTCCTACAGGGTTTTATTCAAATGAGTGTAACTTTTCACCTATTGGTCTCAGCAATAATTGTCCAAAGGAGTTCAGATAGTTATTTCTTCATTTTTTCCAAAAAAAAAAAAAATAATTTTTTTAATATATTTTTTCAAAATGGGCCCTTTTTATTTTTTTGCTTAAAAGAAAGCTTATACAATTTCCTTAAAGGGTTTTATAATCCCATAATGGGATATTCATTAAAAAACTATTTTTTAACTCATGAATAAAATATTTTTCAATATTTGGCACTTAATTTTCTCCTATTTTTTCAAAATGGACGCTTCTGTTATATTGTTTTTCCTCAAAAAAAAAGCTTAGACTGCGAGTGGGATATGTATATATAAAAAATATTTTAACTCCAAAAGCAAAGTTTTTGAGTTAAAATATTATTTTTTTCACATATTCCCCTTGCATCCCACTAAGTGACCACAAAGCTCTTAAATGAAATGGTCTAAGCTTTCTTTTGATTAAAAAAAAATACTACAAAAACGTCCATTTTGCAAAAATAGGGTAAAATTAAGTGCCAAATATTGAAAAAAAAAAAAAAAATATTCTTGAGTTAAAAAACATTTTTTTTGAAGGATATCCCACTCGCATCCCATTATGGGACTATAAAGCCCTTTAAGGAAATTGTATAAAATTGTAAAATTAAAAAAAATATATTTTTAAAAATAATATTAAAAAAAAAAATTAAAAACATTTTTAAAAATCAAAAAATAAATAGCTATCTGAACTGAACATTGGACAATTTTTTCTAGGACCAATAGGTGAAAAGTTACACTCATTTGAATAAAAAACTGTATGACCAAAATGTCAAACTTTGACCCCCTCTGACTCCAACAGTTCTTGACCAATAGAGCTGAAAATTTGTCTCTGGCCTACTATCTCATAGTACTAACTTTGGTGCAAATTTAATCCAAATCGGAAGACATCGATTGACACGAATTTCCCTATTTTTATTTTAATACGTCTATTGAAACTATTGCAAAATTATTAAAACTATAGTTAGGACATTTTTTTTTAATGATTTAGAGTGTTTTTAATAATTAGATTAAAATCTCCGTAGCACAGTAGCTTGAAAACTTTTGCTTGTAATTTTTAGCACCGTTTAGGGTCGTTTGCGTTTCAGGTGTCGATATAGTCTATTCTGTAGTCTGTTCTGTAGTGATGTTAACAAAATTCATTAAGTGAAGATATATTCACTTTTTCGATATTTTATTTTTTAATAGAACAACGGTATCGGCATTTTTACTTATTTCCGTATTACTATTTAAGCGTTATCGGTATTTCGACCTATTACGGCATCGGTATTTTAGCGGTTACGGTAGTAGCGATGGAAAGGTATTTTAGCGGTAACGATAGCTTAGCAATAATTGTTACCAACCTTGGTTTTATATTAACTGAAATCTCTCTACCAAATTTTATGAGGATTGGTCTATAATTGACCCTACCCCCATATAAGGTCCCCCCCAGAAAATGTCTTAAATGCTCATTACGGGCTCAGAAATACTACTTTAGCAATGAAATTTACAATAAACAAGTTTTATGGGAACTTAAATCCTTCTATCAAGTTTTATATGGATCAGTCCATAATTGACCCTATCCCCCGTATAAGGTCCCCTTCAGAAAATGACTTCGACTTTTGAAAATGTCTCAACGAAATTTTAAATAAATGTGTTTTATATTAACTCAAATCTCTCTACAAAGTTCTTGGGAATGGCCCATAGTGACGCTACATCCCATATTAAATGATTTTATCGGTCTTTGATATCAAATTCGATTTATGCAAGTCTTATACGAGCAAAGGTTTTTCTAACAAATTTTATGAGAAATTCACCCTCTTCAGAAAATGACTTTAACTCTCATAACGGTGAAATTGGACACAAAAAAGTTTTTTTTCGAAACCTACATATAAAAAATAATACATTTTGGAGAGTTAGGTCTAAAGCGGATCCACGGTAGGGGGATGGGGGTGGTTAATATGAAATTTATATTCTATAAATCTTTTTAATTTTGAAGTAAGTATTTTTATACCCTCCAGTGGTGATAGAGGGTATATATAAGTTTGTCATTCCGTGTGTAACACCAAGAAATATTCATCTGAGACCAAACAAACTATATATATTCCTTATGAAATTCTGAGTCGATTTAGCTATGTCCGTCTGTCCGTCCGTCTGTCTGTCTGTGTAAAACACGCTCACGTTAAAACGAAGCAATATAATTTAACCAAATTCACCCAAAATATTCTTTATTATCCGGTACAGTTTGGTATTGAAAATGAGCAAAATTGGTTCACATCGGGAAAAGTTATGAATCAAAATTTAAAACAACTCCAAAAAAATAAGCATTTTTTACACATTCTAATGTAATTTTCTCGAAAACTATGCAAGATAATTTCATGAAAGTCATCATACATTCGTTTCTACACAAGATCTTGATTCTTGATGAAAATTGCCAGAATCGGTTCATAATTTCATATACCTCCCATACAAAAGTACATATTTCAGGAAAATGAGTTTTTTGTTAATAACTTCCGTCAGAATGTTGAAAAATTAAAATCTTATGTCAATAGAATTCATTGAGTGAAAAAATTTTCTGGATCGGTCCATAATTGGACATTGCTCCCATACAAGGTCCCCTCCCGAAAATCACTTAAACGCGCATAACTCATTACTAAATTAAGATATCTATATAAAATTTGGAATAAGTATTGCTCATATACACAGAAATAATACTGTGAAAGGTTTTTCAGATCGGTCCACAAGTGGTCATAGCTCCCGTACAAGGTCCCCTCCCGAAAATCACTTAAACGCACATAACTCATTACTAAATTATGATATCCATAAACAATTTGGTAAAAGTATTGCTCTTAAATACAGAAATATTACTATGAAATTTTTTTCCGATCGGTCCATAATTGGTCATAATTCCGGAAATCACTTAAACGCGCATAACTCATTACGAAATTAAGATATCCATATAAAATTTGGTACAAGTATTGCTCACATATACAGAAATATTATTATATTATTAAATAATATAAATTTTTTTCGGGTCGGTCCATAATTGGTCATAGCTCCCATACAAGGTCCCCTCCCGAAAATCACTTAAACGCACATAACTCATTACAAAATATTGATATCCATACATTTAGCACAAATATTGCTCTTATATACATAAATTACACTATAAAATTGCTTTACGATCGGTCCATATTTGGTTATATCTCTCATACTAGGTATCCTCCAGAAAATCACTTACACTTGCACAATATTCATTGCCAAATAATGATACAGATACAGAATTTTGAAATTTTGTCTCTATGGTCTTACATACATAATTGGTCATAGCTCCCATACAAGGTCCTTTTACGAAAATCTCTTAAACGCACATTACTCATTACCAAATAAAGCTATTGATACAAAATTTGGCACAAATATTAGTTTGGTATACAAAAATTCTATTTCAAGATTTTTTTTTCACGATCGGTCCATAACATGGGTGCGGTCGGTCCTATGCAAGTGTCCCTTCAGAAAATCACTTGAACACACATTAATTATTACTAAATTACGATATAGATACAAAATTTTACTGAAATATAGCTTTTATGTACAGAAATTTAGCTTAAAGAATTTTTTTCGATCGGTCTATAATTGGTCATATTTCCCATACTAGGTCCTGCCCCTAAAAGCAATGTAACCGTATTTAACTAGTTGCATTATCAATTTGTGTAGAACAAAATTATATATATGTATTTTGAAAATCCTTAAATATCTCACACACATGCATATATGCACATTAAATATAGTTAAAGCATAAAAATATAAAAGAAAATGGGGTTTGTAATGTTCAATAAATCTTGGAATTGTATCAGATTTAAGGTGCTTATATATTGGGGTTTTTCTATTTAAGACATGAGAAAACTTGTTTCTACAAATATTTGATCATTTAGAAAAGTATTAATATAAAAGTAGCTGGTGGAGGGTATTTAAGATTCGGTTCAGTCGAATATAGCACTCTAACTTGTTTTTTATTAAAAAATCTCAAAGTTCTTTAGTAGTCATTATTAAATTCATATATTAGGGAAATCCCATTTGTATGGAGAAAAATAAAATATTTCTATTTTCCCCACTAAAATTCGAAGATACTTTATATACAATATTATATAAAAAGTCAAGCTTTTATTAGTTGATTTGTAATGGTACAAATTTTGTAACTGAATTTTCGACCACGTTCAATAGCCCGGTTTGGTTTAAATTTGGCACACATAAAGACACCTGATGACAATGCAATGTTTGAAAAATCGAAAAACTACTTTACAATTTATTAACATTAAATATGTTTGTTTGGAAAATATAATAACTCGGTCTTAAATGAAATAGATCTAGATCGTGCTGTCATTAGAACTACTGTGCTCCCCAGTATTTTATGATTATAAATAACAATAAATAGTATGTTATTACTTTTGGATATTGGAGGAAGGGGAAGCTAACACGGAAATTGTAGTTACATCTGATATGGTTAAAGGGGCAATCAAGAGCTTCGCTCCCTATAAACCTGCAGGGTCGAATGGCATTTTCTCGGCACTCTTATAGATGGAGGCGGCACTGGTTTCCGTACATCTGTCTCAGATATTCATTGCATGCTTGAAATTCACATTCCACCGATTAAACCTAAATACAAAACAAATTGAAATTTTTGTATATGATATAGGCAACATCAATATCATTGACGTTATTTCAAGATACTCGTTAAAACCGCTAATTTTGGTGCTTGAATTCAAGTTTCCT